TTTTTGAGATGGCGTCTTGCACTGTCACCCAGGCTGGAGTGCAGTGGTGCGATCTTGGCTCACTGCAACCTCTGGGTTCAAGCGATTCTCTTCCCTTAGTCACCGGAGTAGCTGAGATTACAGGTGCCGCCACCACATCCAGCTAATTTTTTTGTATTTTTAGTAGAGACGAAGTTTCACTATGTTGGCCAGGCTGGTCTCAAACTCCTGACCTCGTGATCCGCCTGCCTCGGCCTCCCAAAGAGCTGGGATTACAGGTGTGAGCCACCGCTCCTGGCCTCAGCCCTTAAACGCTAAAGTCCAACCTTCCAATGACAGTTGTTCTCTGTCTTCCTGTGTGTTTGCTTGTCTCCATGACTACACTGCTAACTCCCGAGGGGGAAGGGAGTCACCTGCCGGTTCATATTTCCTCCCTCTCCCTCCGTACAGACTCAGGCGAGGAGTCACACCTGGCCTTGCTGACAGGCTGGCCGTCATTCTTGGGGCCAGGACTAACCTCCCCACCGCCTCCCGTCTTAGGGTGGCTAGCTGTCCCCTTACTGAACTGTGTTTGGCATAGTGTCCCCCATACCTGCTCCAGCCAGAATGATCCTAGGTCAGCTCCCATCACTCCCTTGCTATCCATCTCCATCTGAATAATATCAGGCCCGTGAGGCTTTGCATGTGCAGCCCCGGCTCCTCCCCAACCCCCCGCCCCACTCCTCCTGCTCCTTCCACTCCAGACACTCGGCCTCCTGTGCTGAGGTCACACGCTCCCGCCTCAGAGCAGTGCACCTGCTCTCCTTTCCCTGGAATGCTTCTCCACGCAGCAGGCCCCTCGATGCATTCAGGGCTCTGCTCAAAGAGAATTTTCCTTCCCACCCCTCCCAAAACAGCAACCCCTGCAGCGACTGCTCCTTTCCCTGCTGCCCTACTGTGTGGCAATCACTGCTTTCATCCACCCCCTCCAGATGCACCCTCCTAGGCCCTGGCAGGCTGGCACTGGTAGGGCCCACATCAGCAGTCCCCCCACCCCAAGCAGAGAGCAGGTAAGACAGTGTGGGAGGAGGGAAGGAGAGTGAGGTGCGGGTTCTGATCTCCCGGGTTGGTTCCCTCCCTGCAGGGCTCTGCGTGCTGGCCGTGCTCCTGGACCTGAGGCCTCTCCTCTTGCAGAAGCCTCTCCCATGAGCCTCTCCCCAGGTTCTAGCTGCCCCTCCCCTTCTCCGTTCCCAGCCCAGGTGCTATACCAACCCCTGGGCTTCCTCTGGACCTCGCCTACACTTTTGGAAGTACTCCCTTGATTAAACCGTCCTCAAACATCCAACCCAGGTACACTGTCACTTTCCTTCCAGGACCCTAAATTCACTACCTGACATGACAGGTCTGCTGTTGGTGAGCTGTCTCCCCAGCTAGCCCATGAACTCACAGAAGGGAAAACCTTGTTATAGTTGCCGCCGTATCCCAACATCTGTATGAGCACTAAGTAGCAGAAGCTCAGTAAGTGTTTGTTGAATGTTAGAGCCGGCTCACGCCTGTAATCCCAACACTTTGGGAGGCTGAGACGGGTAGATTGCTTGAGGTCAGAAGTTTGACGCCAGCCTGGCCAACATGGGGAAACCCCATCTCTATCAAAAATACAAAAATTAGGCAAGACACGGTGGCTCACGCCTGTAATCCCAACACTTTGGGGGGCCGAGGCGGGCGGCTCATGAGGTCGGGAGTTCAAGACCAGCCTGACCAATATGGCGAAACCCCATCTCTACTAAAAATACAAAAATTAGCTGGGCGTGGTGGTGCACACCGGTAATCCCAGCTACTCAGGAGACTGAAGCAGGAGAATTGCTTGAACCTGGGAGGCAGAGGTTTCAGTGAGCCGAGATCGCACCACTGCACTCCATCCTGGTGAAAGAGTGAGACTGCCTCTCAAACAAAGAAAAAAGTACAAAAATTAGCTGGGCCTGGTGGTATACACCTCCAATCCCAGCTACTCAGAGGCTGAGGCAGAAGAATCTCTTGAACTTGAGAGGCGTGAAAGGTGGAGGTTGCTGTGAGCAGAGATTGTGCCACTGCACTCCAGCCTAGGCGACACAGTGACTGTCTCAAAAAAAAAAACAAAACAAAACAAAAAAAAAAAAAACGGCAGGGCACAGTGGCTCATGCCTGTAATCCCAGCACTTTGGGAGGCCAAGGCGGTGGAGTTCAAGACCAGCCTGACCAACGTGAAGAAACCCCCTCTCTACTAAAAATACAAAAAGTTAGCTGGGCGTGGTGGCTCGCGCCTGTAATCCCAGCTACTTGGGAGGCTGAGGCAGGAGAATTGCTTGAACCCAGGAGGTGGAGTTTGTAGTGAGCTGAGATCACGCCACTGTATTCCAGCCTGGGGGACAAAAGCAAAAGTCCGTCTCAAAAAAAAAAAAAATTTGTTTAACAAGTGACTGAACAAGGGGAGGATCAATGTAATCTGGAGAGAGGGTACAGAGGCTGGAAGACAGAGAGGGTTTTAGGAGGTGATGGGGAGGAAGGGCTCTAACAAAGGCAGGGGATACCGCAGTGATGAGAATCGCCTCCCCTTGGGGCATAAAGACCCTAGCTTCTGTCTTTCTTAGCACTCCTCCAATGTCTGTCATAATTTGGGGTTTCTTTGTATGTCTTCCCACTGGAATGAATTCTCTGTAGGCAGGGCCCACAACTGCCTTGTTCACCACGGTATCTTCAGGACATGCCCAGATTGATAGACTGATATTTATTAATTAATTATTATTATTTTGAGATGGAGTCTCACTCTGTTGCCCAGGCTGGAGTGCTATGGCACGATCTCGGTTCACCGCAATCTTGCCTCTCAGGTTCAAGTGATTCTCCTGCTTCGGCTACCTGAGTAGCTAGGACTACAGGCGCCACCATGCCCAGTTAATTTTTTGAATTTTTAGTAGAGATGGGGTTTCACCATCTTGGC